CTGCATTGTGTATCAGATGAACTGAAGCTTCCAGACTCTCTTCAAGGATAGCACCATGTAGAGCATATTGCAGTAGTCCAATCTGGAGTGGCAATGGCATGAGTGACTGCTAGCAGGGCCTGTTGAGCTAGGAAAGGGCACAACTAGTGCACAAGATGAAGCTATACGGAGGCCCTCCTAACCACAGCTGCCATTTCACTATTGCAGGACTGTCTAAAGTCATGGCCCACGGGTTGGATGCATCACGTGCTGGCCATACCCACGCCCAGTTTAGCAAAGGGGAAAAAAAATCATGATACATCACATGACGATGCCATGATGATGCACGTTTGACACTGTTTTAAATGACAAGCAATACTTGTATGCTTTATCTTTACCCATATAATTTTTGTGAAATATACCTGAATATAAGTTGTATGAACATCAGAATGCTACTCTTTTCATGTCTTACTTGTTGTCATGATCTTCTCAAGATCATTTAATTATCCACATGAGAAGAATTTACTCTTGTGTTTTCATTTAACTTGTCTCTCTGCTCTGGGTAATAGTAACCATGTTGTTAGCACGAAGTTGTGTCCGACTCATCGCGACCCTATGGACAACATTCCTTCAGGTCTTCCTGTCCTCTACTATCCCCTGGAATCCATTTAAGCTCACGCCAACTGCTTCAATGACTCCACCCAGCCACTTCATTCACTGTTGTCCCCTTCTTCTTTTACCCTCAATCGTTCCCAGAATTATGCTCTTCTCCAGTGTGTCGTTCCTTCTCATTACGTGGGCAAAGTATTTGAATTTCATCTTCAGTATCTGGCCTTCTAAAGAGCAGTCAGGTTATCTCCTCTAGGAGTGACTGGTTTGATCTCCTTGCAGTCCAAGGGACTTGCAGGAGTCTTCTCTAGCACCATAGTTCAAAGGCCTCAGTTCTTTGGCACTCAGCCTTCCTTATGGTCCAACTTTCACAGCCATACATTGCAACTGGAAATGGTAACCATAATGCTACTTTATTCAGTTTCCTTTACTGAATAAAGGAAAAAGAATGTTGTTAGGACTTTCTATTTCCTTGTTTCTGGAAGAGATAATCCTAGAATTAAACTGGTTCTCTTCCAATCTCCCTATGCCAATCTTATTTACTTTTTTTGCTCTTTGTTTTGCATGTGATCTCTGTATGTGAAATCCTTTTAGCAAGTCCTTAGAAACGTTTGTCAATTTTCACATTTTTTTCAATCCTTTAAAGGTTCTTTGGTATTAGCAGAAGTAATATGATTGAATCCTCATGAACTTCATCATTTTTCATTCTGTTGCTTTTCCTAGGCCATATTTTATTTATTTTTTTAGTGAGAGAGAAAAAAGTTTTCACATATATCTTAATGTCTGAAATGGATGATGTATTAAACAGTCTAAGTCTCAATAAAGACTGTCTAAAATGCCTAGCTAAATAACAGTCTTTCTAATCCAGACTTGAAACTGAAATGATATAGCCAACTATGAGCCCTAAATCTATTTTGCTGCACTCGGATGGTGTAGGAGGTGCTGTCTTGCAGCCAATAGTGAAATAAGTTTCAGTTGACTTTTATATCTGGGGCAGAAGAAAGTGTCATCTTATCTTTGTTTCAGGAAACATTGTGTTGGCTTGTGCTGTCTGACTGCAATAAGGGATATTTTGTTTACTGGTTACACATTCCCTGATCATCTCCAGAATGACCCCAGCTGCCAGGATCAATTTTGCATGCCTTCTCTGTGCTCCCATTCTGGAAGCCCTGGAAGTTTGGGGTGTTCTATTCAGGTGTTGGAAGAAGCCATTCAGGTTTTCAACGCCTCTTGATTGACTTAATCAGTACACCAATAATAAAAGTCATCATTTTTGATCAATATTTGCATTTCTATTGAAGTTTCTTTGTGACTTAACACAAAAAGAAATTATATTGATCCATTGTAGCTTTTTGTTGATTAGGTAAGAATAGTTAAGTTCTCTGATGTGTCATCACCTGGCCTAATCTGTATAGACTTCAAAATTAAGCAGAGTTTGGCTTTTTTGTGTGTGGTTAGCTAGGATACCATAAAAGAATTTGTGAATTTTAGGCAAGACTGAGAAATTTAAAAAAAATCTAAAGAAGATGATAGTATAAATTAATTTTAGAAGTCTACAGGTAGCCCTTGACATGACTTTAATGTAGCCTGTATGTTATTATTGTAAGCTATGATGGTTATAAAGTGACTGACCTGATGTTATGATCTTTTTTGTGGTAGTCATTAAATGAATCACTATGGTTGTTAAGGGAATCTGTGGTCATTAAGAATACCCAATTTTTGGTGTGACCACCATAAATGCAGTCTGGTTGCCAACCACCTAAAACATAACCATGGGTGAGGGATGGAGATGGCCACTGAGTCTTCAGAATTGGATCATAAGTACCTTATGGGGAATCCATCATAATGTTGAATTATCACTAAACCATAGGTCATGAGTTGAAGATTACCTACTGACTTCCCTTCAGTGTGAGCATAACCACCAGCTTAAGAAAGAATTGGGGGGTTATAGATATCTGCTGATTGTAAATATACCCAACAAGACACACAAACATAAATGAATCATCATTTTTATTATAACTATCCTGATTAACAATAGAATTTACATTGAGGTTTTGTAGAGAATGATACATACATATAATCCTGAAACAGTCTCCAAGAATACAAACAATAGCCGATCAAAAGTAATTTTTCCATATGTTTATTGTTATAAAGATACATGTGAGTGGCAATCCTCTCTACCTCATCACACTAGATCATGCAGTGACACTACTTATGAGCAATTTCAAAATTATAAAGATTGTTAATATTGAACATGCACAACAAAATATCTGTCTTTCTCTTTAGAGAAAGAGGAAACCTTCAACAGCATCAGAGTGTTTTTTTCTCCCCAGATGGTGGTGAAAATGGGTTGCAATAAGCAAGGTGACACTAAAACAAAGATTTTCTGACAACTGGTACCCAGAAATACTAAAATTGAGTCCTGCAAATATAAAAGTTGGATTTGGTCGCATGTTCCTCAGGTTACACAATATATGGTCAAGGGTTGAACTCGACTCTTCTGTTTACCAGGTGAACTGTGAGAATTCACAGTACCACAAAGTGTGGCTTTTTAAAAAGTCCTTTATTCAAAGATTCCTGGAATAGGAATAAGCACGCTGTTCTCAGTTCTCAGTAAAATACTCTGCCACATGGGACAAGTGAGACAGAAACATTTGACTATGTCTTTCTCTACCTCCTCTTCTACAGCAACATTTGAAATACCCTTATAGAGCCTTTTGCTAAAAAAAATAATCTGAGGTGCTCTGCATAAATCTTAGGCCCACTTCTATTCCCAGATGAAAAACATAATTGTGTGGCAAATGCTAATCTGTCAGGGAGCCTGACAGGGCTTATGAAGCCACACAAGGGAACAGAAAGCCTGAGAAATCATGGGTCTTCTCTCTCATTGTTGTATTTGCATTAAAACTATATATCTCTTCTTTTGTTATTATAATATGAATCATATTAACAAACTCTTGTTATAAGACAGAGGCCAGAATAACACTGATTGGTTGATTGATCGATGTTGATTGATAAGGTTGATTGATGTTTCTGATGGAAAGGAGTAAAAAGGGCCCATGCTTCTACTGTTTTGAAACAGGAGGACACTGAGTCTGGTTTTGAATTTTATTATGCTGTTCATGAAACTGACTTATAGTTTGCACAGCAATCATGCAATATATAAATGTCAGTACTCTATTGATGTTTTATCCAGTTATAAGACAAATAATGTAGAAGAAATACCTTGAAATATTATCCAGAAAAGAGAGAACTCTCAACAGACAGTTACAGAGGAAAGAAATCTGAATTTCACCTCTTCTCAGTTTTTGAACTTAATTCCTCTAGTCCTGTCCAATTCTGCATAAAATTTATTATATTGTTTTTCATCATTCTAATTAAAAAACAGATGTCATATGTGCTTGCCAATATAGTCTTGCTATATTTCCTTGGTAACAGACTACAGGCTGTGAAGATGTCTCATTTGGACACCACTTTTGGATCTCTCCTTGTCAAGCTTGTTGGGATCCAGATGTGGATCCCAATAGGAGTTATAACCGAAGAGGAGCATACAAGGGAAGAGAAAGCAAAAGATGGAGGAGCCATTGTCCCTACGTTATGCTATCTCTTTCTCTGTTGCTGCTCCCAAATAATCTGCCACTTTAGCGACAACTGTAGCAACTTCCTCTTCCTCCTGTTCTCAGTTAGATATTTGAAAAGCAGGGTAAGAAGGAGCTTGGCCAGATGATGGCTTCCCAGGTTCAAACTCTGGCCATTTTCTTTCTCCAGTCCTTTTAAGTCCATCCTATTTGTGAAGGAATGAAGAAAAAATGCTGTTCTTCTGATAGGAAGTAGTAGAAGTATTCCATCCATATCTGAAATGGAAGGAGGACAAGTACAAAGTACAGAGAAAGATATATTTCACAGTTAACTAGAAGGCAGGGTCTCAGGCCCTGATTTTTTTTACTGTTTTCCAAATCACTACTAGAGTGAAAGAAGACCCAGTGTCAATGAGGAATCCATCTGAAAGGTTGCATTAAGGCCTGATGAGTTTTATATGGCTTTTCTTCCCCTTCCTTTTTTATAGTTTCAATGTTGACTTTCAGGCTCAAGGTGGCTAATACATACAGATCCATACACATTACTTCTGTGATGAGATAAGGCATAGGAACATGAGTTCTTTAAATTATACCCCCAAATGTATCTGCTGAATGATTTGTAATTATGCTCTGTAGTCAATGGACAAACAATAAATATTGTGCAATATGCATCTTGTGTTATCAAGCAAAGTTTTTTTATTTCTCCTATACATACACTATTTTTAAAATTCGCCTTTTAGACAAACTTTAATGGGTGGAAATAGTGCATTATTTATAGTGATTAGCTTCCCAAATAAGCCATGAATAGACACATTTGTGTATTATCATTTCCAGGATGGAATGGGAAATCTCAGAGTCACCAAAAAAGGAATTCGACTTGAAGGGATATCTGAATTTCTACTTCCATTGTACGTGAAAGAAATCCATTCCCGAAAGGTAGGTTCCAACATCTGTTTTACTACAATCACCATTTTAAAAAATGAAAGGTTTTAGTTCAAAAGAGTAAACTGTTATACAGGCTAGTATCTCCAACAAGATATTTTTAAAGGGGGTTTACAAACTAATCAACCACGAAGTTTAATTTTCATGTGACTGCCAGTTCTTTTGACTATACCATCATCTTCAGTCAATTGTTCAGACAGAATATGACATAGTCAACACAATGAAAATCATGATTCTGGGAAAGTGGCTTTACATTTCTCATATGACTGTTGATGAATTTGTTCCCATGTTTCAAACATGTTTGTTAGAGTGATAAAGAAGAAAAAATGAACAATGTGGATCCAATCCAGTTTATAAACTTTCATTTCAAAATGTGGCTTCTTTCTTCTTTCCAATGATGAAATACAGCCTTTTTTTCCTAGTTCAGAATTTCATATACATCTAGTTCACAAATTTAATTGAATATCAGTTCTGAAAAGCACAGAGAGTGAAATCAGTTGTTTTGTAGGTTTTTAAAGGTATTCATTTCTTTAATTTTACAGTTCTTATAACATAGATGCTGAAGTACAGAAACACATAGTGTTCTGTAAATCAGTATTCCAAAAAAATGTTTTCTCTTTTTTTAACCTTGTAACTCAACAGCAGATGAGATGTACACATAATTCAACATTAGGAAGATTCCAAAGCAACATTTTGCAATCACAGAAAGTTGATATATTCGGAACATAGGATAGTTTTGTTGTGAAGCTTGTTTTATATTTAACTTTATTGTTGTAGGATAATGGGAGTGCTTATATAAGCAAAAGAAGGTATACATGTTAATAATAGTAGTGGTAATACTAGCACCCTAGCAAGAATCATTATTCATACAAGAATAGCAGACAAGTTTATTAGTATTCTTCCTTTATGAAAAAAAATGGGCGCTAATTTTAGTGGTGAAAATTGGAACAATCTGAATATACGTGAGTTTAGCAGGCAAATCACTTTATCAATGATCATTTTAAAAAGATGATTATATAATATGGACAAACTGACCATGAATAGACCACCTCTATGGATTGCAATTCATTTCCTTCTAGGATATATATCTTTGTAGTGTAGTCACAGACTCTGTGCTTTAATATCTGCTAGGTGACTTGGATTTCAATTCACAACTTTTTCTATTGCTCACACTTTCTATAGATTATGCAGAGTTACTTGTTGGTTTGTTTCTTGCAATTATATCCTGACACAATCTGGTCATGTACATACTTTACAATTCGAAAGCATTTAGAACATTCACAGTATGTTTTACTGTGTGATTAAAAATATATATATTAACAAATAGTTGTGAAAATCAGGGTCTGGAGTTGAGTCTTTTACCCTACTCCCATCACTTTCAAGCCTTCCCCCATTCCCTGTTCATGGGCATGTTTATACTGGCTTGTGGGTCCCAGCCCAATCACCCACTCAAGAGAAAATGAAGAAACAAGCTCCTGTGGCATTTCAGCATTAATTATCAATGTCAGGAGCTCTCTCTCATCTCCAACCTCATTCACATTCAACCTATCCCATCCTAGCATACACACATTGCTATGGTTGTCAGCTAGATATTTAGAGTGGATTTGGCATTTTTATCAACCTCTTGAGTTCTTCATAAGGACCTGAAATAGGCAGATATTGTTTGCTGGTGTTATAGGTATGTCACAAGGTTTAAGTTGCCTTTTACAATTGACTGGTGGTGATTTTTGTTAATGCTGATGGTATTCAAGTGTTTGGGGATTGGCTATTACTATTGGTACCTTCCAGAGGACTTTAGCTTCTTCATTTCCTATGACTTTCTCTATTTTGTGGTCCCACTAGTTCTTCCCTGCAGGCAAATGGTGTTTCTTTCAGATCTTCCAATGCACCATTTTTGCTACTTAGTCATGCCTTCGTTTGTAGTCAGTTTGCACAATCTTCTTACAACAGCTAACTAGATGGTTCACTGTTTCTTCAACTTCTTTACATGGCAGGACTTGTTGTGTGTTACTTTGTTCTCAGTTCTGGATGCTTTTGTTCTTAAGACTTAATCTTATGCACCCAGAATTAGCCCCTTTGCATCATTCTTCAATTTTGCTGTTCATTGCCAGTTTTTATGAAGATCTTTTTTGCCTACTTTTTTTTAAAAATCTACAAACCATATGATACTTTACTTTGCCTTGTCTCTTTTCTTTTCTTAATTTTTTTATTTTATTTGGTTTGTCAATTGCTTACAAGATAATAGGTATAAGTAAAAACATAGTTATGAATACATGGATACATATAAGAAAAATAAAAGAAACAATAGGACAGGGACGGTAGGCACGTTGGTGCGCTTATGCACGCCCCCTACAGACCTCTTAGGAAAGGGGTGAGGTCAATTGTAGAAAGTCTAAGGTTAAACTTTTTGGATTTTGGGGAAGAAACCACAGAGTCAGGTAGAGTATTCCAGACATTGATCACTCTGTTGCTGAAGTCATATTTCCTGCAATCAAGTTTGGTGCGATTAACCTTGAGTTTGTATCTATTGTTTGCTCTTGTGTTATTATGGTTGAAGCTGAAGTATTCATTGACAGGTAGGACATTGCAATGTATGATTTTATATACTATACTTAGATCAGACCAAAGACGGCGTAATTCTAGGTTTTCTAGGTCGAGAATTTCAAGTCTGGTGGCATAAGGTATTCTGCAATGAGTAGAGCAGTGGAAAACTCTTCTTGTGAAATATTTCTGGACTTTCTCAACTGTGTAAATATCAGATTCATAATGTGGGTGCCAGACTGATGAGCTGTATTTGAGTATTGGTCTAGCAAATGTTTTGTATGCTCTAGTTAGTAGTGTAATATTACCAGAGAAAAAGCCACGTAAGATTAAGTTAACAACACTTAATGCCTTTTTGGCTATGTAGTTACAGTGGGCTCTAGCACTTAGATCATTAGAGATGAGTACTCCAAGGTCCTTGACAGAGTTTGGATCATCAACAAGGTCTTGACTATTTAGCCTGTATTTTATTTTCTGATTTATTTATTTTTGCCAATATGTAAGACAGAGCATTTGTTTGTTGAGATTTGAAGTTGCCATTTGTTTGACCATTCTGATACATAGTCAAGGTCTTTTGGAAGGGTAGCAGTATTCTCTGTGGTGTTGAATAGCTTTACATCATCAGCAAAGAGGACGCAGTTGCTCTCAGTATGATCACAGAGGTCATTTATGTAGAGTATGAAGAGAGTTGGTCCTAGAACACTGCCTTGGGGGACACCACTATTGACAGGTACTGGATTTGATAGGACGCTCCCAATTTTGACCATTTGTTGTCTGTTTGACAGGAATGCTTCTATCCAGTTATTCAGTTGTCCAGAGATACCATAGGATTTTATTTTTAGGAGTAGTTTGTCGTGTACCACTGAATCAAAGGCTTTACAGAAGTCTATGTAGATTGCATCTATTGCTTTGCCCTGATCGAGTTGTATAGTCCATATGTTTTTGCAGTGTAAGAGTTGCAGATTGCAGGATAGTTTTTTTTCTGAAACCAAATTGTTTATTAGAGAGTAGGTTGTTTGTCCCTAGGTGGAGGATAATGGATTGGTTAATAATTGATTCCATGACTTTACATGTGACGCAGCATAAAGAGATTGGTCTGTAATTTTCAACTAGGCTGTGGTCTCCCTTTTTGAAGATGGGGATGACTGTGGCTTATGACCATAGTTTTGGCAAGGAGCTGATCCTGAAAGATTTTTCAAAGATTATGCTTAGAGGTTCGGCTATGGCAGTGGATAGCTTTTTTAAGAAGTAGGCACATATTCCATCTGGTCCAATAGATAGAGATGGTTTTAGATTGTGTAGTGCTTTTTCAACAATGTCTTCTGTAAAATTGATATGTATTAGATCATTGTAGTTTTCTGTGGTTCGACTAGGAAATACTTGGCATGATCCATTGCTGTTTCCAAATACTGAGCCAAAGAAGGTGTTAAAGAGATTGGCTTTAATGGTGTCATCATTGCAGTCTTTACCATTAGGCCCTTTCAGGGGTGGGATGGACCTTGATTCTTTTAGTTTGTTGTTTACAAAATTGTAGAAAGCACGGGTGGAATTGGTGCGTAGGTTTTCCTCTTGTTTAATGTGATAATCGGTGCATTCAGTCTTTATCTGGTGGCATAAATTTTTGTATCAGCTTTTGAAGTTGGCAACATGACGAGATTTGTTTTTCTGCCAAAGTGATCTCTTTTTGGATTGAAGTTTCCTTATTGTCATGGGTAATCTGTTTTTTCTGGTTTTGGGAGTTGTTATTGGTACCTATAGTTTGATGACTCTTTTGACTTCAAGTAAAAATATGTTGTAATGGTCTTCAACAATATTGCATCCAGTGAATAGAAATTGCCAATCAAGGGATGAGAGATCGTTGTCTATAAGATCATAGTTGCCTTTTTTGAAGTTATAATTGGGGATCACATCATTGTGTTGATTTTTGTGTGGATGTATGTTGAGACAAAAGTCAATCAAGCTGTGGTCACTGTTGGAAAAGGGTTCTTTAATTTGTATTCCATAAATTAAATTCAAACTATTGCAGAAGATGAGATTGAGGCAGTTGTTAAGTCTAGTATTGTTGGTTACTGGTTGCTCCAGTCCCAGATTTGTTACAGTATTGTAGAAGGTTGCATGTATGGGTTCAGTTGTACATTCGTTTAGTGTCCAGTTAATGTGAAGTAGATTATAGTCACCAAGAAAGATAAAAGTGTGTGGGCAGGATGTTGCCCGTGTTAGTAGTGAATTTAGCTTGTTTTCATGTCCAATGTCATAATCAGGGGCTCTGTAACATAGTAAGAATTGAAATGTGATATTTAAGGACAGTTTACAGACGATGGTCTCAGGAAGAGCAAGCTCTTGAGTAACTTGGATGTTTTTTAGATGTAAGGACTTTTTATAGAAGATAGCAACACCACCTCCTCTACGGATTTCACGATCAGATCAGTAAACATGATAGTCTCTTACTGTGG